CACAGCACTATAAAGTTTGATTCTTAATTGTTGTCTTAAGGAGTTATCTGAGCAGATCGCAAACGATTCAAATAAGAGTGAGCCTCCTAAATACGTTGCTTTGACACGGACGTCAGTGCTCGCCCTAATTACGCAACTGATTTTTTGGAATACCAAACCTTTGGAACATAGAGCTGACCCCAAAATACAGTGCGCTGTGTAGGTTGCAGCTTATTCCTCACATTCCATCTCTTTCCATATGTTCAGTCAAGAGGCAGACTCATGGACACCCAGTGTGTGCAAGAGGGAACTTCATGTTTTGACTTTCTTCACGTACATTTATTGAGCATTCCTGTTTATATAGAAAATGAAGCTGGATTGTAACGGCTCTGAAAACGACCGAAATTATATTCACCTACCCTGTTATCAACTATCCCGGTCCGCTAATACATGTAGATCAAACTGACGTCAATAGATCACGTGACAACCGATAAAACACATTTCACTATGTGCGCATAGTTAAACCTGGGTGTCCTTGGGAATAAGTCTCCTGCCTTTCACTTATGGATACTGTCTGCTTGACACATTCACCCAAACCCAATATAGACGTGCAATTGAGGTCCAATTTGGTTCAGTTTTGTTGTAGGGCATGTAGGCCGTTGATTCGTTTTGTCTGTGTGGTTCAAAAATGGGGATTTTGATGACCAAGGTAGCTGCTCATTCCCTTGGTTCTGTAAGTTTTCTGCTATTAAAATTACTCTGTGTGAAGCGGCAATCTCATCGTGCAACCTAAAGTTGTTCCTAAAGTTCCCCCCTATCAAATGATAGTCACGTGGTCCCCAGATTATTCCTTTATTTGATCTGTTTCAGGTTTTCATCGATGACTACCATTGGAGTTTTGGCACCAGTGTGGTATCCACTCCAAATACTGACGCTGTCAATGACCCTTGTCACTTTTGAAGCGGCGCACGCTTCGTCGTAGGCCTCTTCGAATTCAGGATGTCTGTAAACTCTGGTTTGACCAGTTAAGCGGTACAGGTGAAATCTGACCTCAATAAAGAAAGCCACGCGGTTTCATTGTTCTACCCAGAAATGGTCATGGTCCCCAATTCATTAGAGAAACAGACGTCGCTGTTTTGCTGTTTACGATGGCTTCCTCAGAGGTCCTCTGGTTACTATCCTGCTGAAAATAGGGTGGTGTTCGTTAAGAGCCTTGAAATACGCATTTTGGTGGCAATTTGCCCCTAAAACTGAACGGACTGGGTGTTTTTTTGTTTAGTTGCAGTAGCATATCCAGAAGGACAGTGAGTCCTGTACCGTGGTGGTAAGATTTTGATACATTGGGCTTGGCCTCTGTATAGGTACATCAGTCTGGGCATAACTCTATAAAACCGTGCGGACCATTCCGTGTGACACAATAATCTGTCTGGCAATGTCTGTCTTTTTTGCTACACTCTGGCACTTATTAACAAATTTGTATAACACTGCTTATGTCATGCACTGCAAAACCAACCGCTTGCATGCAAAATTTCAAATTCTTCGATGCAGTAGTTGCCGACATATGGATTTTTTTTTTTTTTTTTTTTTTTTGACAGAACCAAAGAAGCACTACCCAATTAAATCAATGCATATTACACAATGGAGCAGTGCAACTGACATGGTAGTCAGTTAATTGGTAGCGACACACCTGACAACACACTTCTCCATTCACATATCTTATATGAGATCTGAGTGTTTTTCTTTTAAAAAGAACACATTGTTACCAATTAAATGTCAAGTCTGTGATTCACTGGCTAACCCTAAAAAGGAACATAAGTAACTGTCACAAATGCAAAACGTCCAGCTGTGAAACTTCAATCATCACGTACTGGTTTTGTTCTTTGATTTATCTCCTACAAGCATAACGTTGTAAACATTTATCTAATCGTCTGTATAGAGCAGTTAATTGTTTTTTGAGCGACTTAAGTTTGTTTGTTACTGAATATTAAAAAAAAACAGGGAAAATAAACCCTACCAACAGAAAAATAAGCATTTTAAATAAATTATTTTCCTCTCGTGATCCAAATATTATATCAGAAATGTCAAACTATCATGGAATCACAATATATTTTTCGATCAGCAACAGAAAACACTGTTTTCTATTGTACCAAGTACTTGAACAAAATGAAACTTTTTGACAATTTTTCTGAGGAACATTCGTTACCTAGTATTAGCCATGACGCCAAGTCCCTCGAGTTACAGTTTAAATATTTATTAAAACGTACCTAAGTCATATATAATTTACCATGACTGAATCATTACAAAATATATCGGAACTCAGTATAAAAATCAGCAACACTGTACAGCTACCACATGTAATGGGATAGTGAGCAAGCTAGCTTTACAGTGTCCTGACACTCAGAGCACTCAGATTCTGCGGAGAAACTGGTGATTATATCACGTACGTTGGAAACAAGAGGAGGCGTGTTACTTCATACGGCTTTTTAGGGATTATTAGATCCTAGTTTAGGCTTTCCAGATTACTATCTTTACACCAGTCACCAGCATATTTAATCCATACACCTTGTTGCAATTGTATTTTTTTAAATGGTGTTTTGTCCTTCACTTATAGAAGGACGCTTCTCGGGGTGTTAATTGGTGTTTACTTTACTATATAAATTCAGTTGAGATGATTTATGATCATTATGAGAAATCATCCAGAGTGTATACTATATTATAATGTGCAAAGTCATAATATTTATGCGCCAATACAATGATGAAATGAATTGAATCAAAGTTATATCTGTAAAGAAAGGGCACATGGAAAATCTGACCCGACTTCTGAAATACACCCTGCACCGTGTTTGCTAGTTGGAGGGTGGGGGTGTGTGGGTGAAGGTATTTGTTTTCTTTGAACACCGATCTAGGTTACATAGTTACATCTGTCACAAATGGCGTATTATTATTATTATCATTTATGTTGCTAGAATTTAATCCAATGTGTTATTGAAATACCTTTCTTTTTTATGTCCATGATACACGTTTTTGAAAGGTGGCCAGTTAAAGTCTTTGAAAAGTTGTTGCTATGGGTAACTGTCCTGGCTTTTTACCAAAAAGTACAAAATGAAAAAAGTTATCGAATTTTAATTTATATCTGAAACCCGTGTGTGACAACTGTTCAAAAGTAACATTCAAGATTCGACAGGCACATCCGCTGTCTACCAGTACCTGTTGCACATCTACTGCAATAAGCAGAACAGTACGCCATGCAAACCACCCATCAGTGCAGGAAGGTGGAATGTACACGTTACGAAAAAATCTTTTATAACCGAAACCATATTGGATAATGTGGCCTAGCACTGTAACTTTATTTGCTTAGTGAATAGAGAAAAGATTACATGATACTGTTTCATTGAGTAAACTAAAGAATAGTAAAAAGGGTCCTGATAACCTTGCGATTTATTTATTTATTTATTTATTTATTTATTTATTTATTTATTTATTTATTTCAGCTGCAGCTCTCAATTAACATACCTTTAAAATTATTCTGCAAATGTCTTTAGCCAATTGAAATAAAATGTAAAATGCTACTGATTCAAAACTAAACTTTTGCCATTTGATATAAATACGTACTGTACAACGGAAGGAGAACTTTTTTCTTTCTTCTCGCTTTTTTTTTAATTTGGGAGTTTAAATGTAAAACATATTTTCTAAAATGTCGATTTCAACATTTCCCAAATAAGAGCTATGTAGTAAAAGAAATAAGAGTGCACATCACATTACACAGAATGGAATGGTGCTTTAAATTTGTAAGTGCAAAATCGCCAGACGTACTCTAGTATTTTGTTGAAGATTTATTAAGCCAATAAATATATATAAAATACATGACAACGGGGATTAATTGCCACGTGAAAGAATTATTGTGCTTCATTTAAAAGCTTTATAATTGTAAGAATTAAATAGGTTTAAGACTTATAAAAATGTATAAAGTTAAAGAATGAAAGCTACCGGCACATAAAATCGTTTGCTGCCCTTAAAAACCAAAACCTAGACTCGCTTGTGAAAAAAAAAAAAAATGTTGGGAGCTGGATCTGAATGGAACTGTCCCTCACACTGTAAAACATTACCCGTTTATTCCATGGTAAAATACTGGCAGCTGGGGTGCCAGTAATTTACCGCGAAAAAGCGGTAGCGAAATAGTCACCGTTTTTGTAATCAAGGTATTTTACCGTGAAAAAACGATAGTAAAAAATAGTACTGCCAATAAATTCTGGTACGGTACCGCAATATTATTATCATTATCATTAAAGAGAAACTAGAAATAATAATTTCAGTTATTTACCGTTTATTTTCAGAGTATTTTACATTATGAACACTAGATAATCTTACTACATGTACCTGTATACACTATCCACAGTCTCATGATACTACGAATTTCAAAACTGTTCTTCATGTAAGTCTGTCATGTACGTCTCCTAAATAAAATTATTTGACAAATGGCAAAAATTCTCCAATATGTATTACAAATTTCACATGCTTTGAAAATTGGAGATGGCATGCCCAAGTCGAAAATGATGATGATGATGATGTATTTCATAAAAGTGAAAACCTTTTTTTTAATCTACGTTAACTGTTTTGTCTTAAAAAATACTTATCTATCTTGACCAAAAATAATTAACGTATACCATATATTGTCACATGCTAACAATTCCAGAAAATAGATAAATTACGAGGTATATAATCTTTAACAGCAAATTAAATTTATTAGAGCAATGTTTGTGATGTTACATGTAACCGAGAAATTTTGGAAAAGTAAGTTTTGTCCAACAATATTATTCAAACTTCTTTCACAGGCCTTTTGCGTTCATTCAACATAAACATGTAAAGAATGTCAGTCATATTCTGACGTCATACTCTTCATTACAGAACCAATGTGAAAGATGACTAAACAGAACCTTCAAGTCGCTTATACTATTTTAACAAAATATTTTAACTTCAATACCAGATAAAGTCAGTATTGATAAAAAAAAGTACTCGGCACTTCACAGGATTTGATAAGTATACACAATGCCTGCAAATTCCCCTTGGTATTCTGGTACTCTCTTTCTCTCCAACTTCCTCCACAGGTTATCGTCTTCGTGTATCTGCAGCCAGTCATCAAAACTCTTCCCTTCATGTCCGACATGTGGGAGGTGGACCTCCCGCGTCGCTATGATCACGTGGCCGCCTATCATAAAAAGCGGATTTTACACTAAATAAACTGTTTCTGTCAAAATCAACTTAAAAATAAGCAGAACATTCCGGAAATAACATAATCTGATTCAAGGCCAATATTCACAACGTTATAAAGATGTCATCACGATTTGTTGGTCGCTAAGCAGTTCGAGTTGCAAAAAACCTAAACACGGCCAACGGCTGATTAGAAAAAAATGCAGGTTTGAACACATATTGAAACTGTACGTTTAAAATTACAAAGGATCTTATGAAGTATTTTGTGTAATGTGGGAAAGTTCCTAGTCAGTACAAGAGACTAAACACCTCCCATACCTGGTTTGGTAATACGTATCAGTTCTGGCAAACAGGCCGCAGTGGCATGGCCAGGTACTATGGTTCCAACACACACTGTACACGTGTAATGTGCTGAAAATCAAACCAGCTAGACTTGAATTACTTCTATTCAAGTTGTTTTCTCGCCCCCTCTTCTCTCTCTCCTTTGATCATACTCAAGGCTTTGTCTGCCCTTTCCAGTGGACAGAGCTGGTGCCAATCGCAGGTCAACAATTGGTCAGTTGGTTGATGGAATGAAATTAGCAAGAATGAAAATGAATTTGGCAAGAAAGGGCCATCCTCGGTTTCAGAGTTTCCTTGCCATTTTTTCTGTAAACAATACCAAACTTTTGTTTATCAACAAAGGTGACGGAAAATATACGCTGAAACCTGAGTAATCATCAATTTTGTGAATATGACCACCACACAAAATATCCGGGTGACAGACAGACCTCTCTACATATGAATCCGTGTCTGAAATAAAATGCTGATTAAGATTAAATATTCAAGAGCCAGATATTTTACAAAAAAAGAAAAAAGAAATCACACAAAATGTGTGCAGTATCTTACGTCTCCAACGATGACAATATCCAGTTAACCAAACATGGAAAATTAGTCTATAGAGAGGGATAAAACAGCTAAACCTTTACAAATAAGGCCATACTAAATGGCGAGGTCCAGCAGCAAGCCAAAAACTTAACACACTTAAACCCATTCCAAATATATTATTGCTTACGTCATCAGGCACCATACTAGTTATTGGCATGGCATTTGAGAACGCAACGTCAATTCATGAGTAATATTAACACCTCGAGGCATCATAAATACTTGGTTTAAGTTAGTATGGCTCTATACCACCTTCAGGAGGCTCTCACATATTTTAGAAACATTATTTCTTCCCTAGCGATTTTGATAGAAATTGTAAAACAGAATCTGCTCACCATCATGAGTAAAATACGAAAAAGGGGATAATCCAGCTCGTTTTCGAGAGGTCGTATTGGTAAGTCTGTGCGTTACGTCGTAAACATCCAAAAGTCACCGAGCGTTCTTCGCTAAATGCAACGTGTTGTTGACATATTCGTAATGTTTCGATCAAAATAACAACAATTATGAATTACATATTATATTGCATGTTATATTTTGATCATTAGTCGCTGTCGTAAAATGTACTCAAGCTTATACAAAAGAGCCGCTTTAAGTTAGCTACCTGTGGGGATGTCCAACTTGTCAGGTCCCAGATAAGCACAAATGTATTTCATATAAATCCCTTTCTCCTTAGCAACATCTAACATATCTTGGCAGCCATCAAGGGCGTCGATGTAACTAAAACCAGCAGATTGGAGCTGAAAATATGAAAGTAATATAAAATAATTTATTTAAATATAAAACATATTATGTGTATTTCAAACCGGCCGTCAAATTCAAGATGGCAATATGATTGAAAGTCAGGTATTCACACTTTTTCCTTAATAACCAATTCAATACCCCCCCCCCCAAAAAAAAAAAAAAGAGAGAGAGAGAGAGAGAGAGAGAGAGTTAGAATGTGTTTACAGTTAAGTTTCATTTTACCTACAATTTATTTTAATACATTTAAAAATCATATATAATATATTATATAATATATTGTGCTATGAATACTGATACCTCTTTCCCAACAAGTCCTGTGCCGGCGCCGGCGTCCAATATCAATGCTTTCCTGTCGTCACCCAAGACGTCTTTGACAACCTTGGCCGCGAAGATAGGTCCCTTAGCCAGAACTTTCTGCAAAGATTTATTTCGTGACTACAGTATGATACTGTCCCTGTATTTCTTGGAGGGGATAGTTGTCTTTAAACTCTAAAGATGATATCTTGTCAAAGACTGAAGAAATTCCGGTTGCGTTTCAAAAAGATTTGACAGGACTGCATGCTGACTTTGATATTCTCCAGGTACACTTTAAGCCCCAGATCAGCTTGGCCAATGTCTTTACTCTTAACTTAACAATAAACTATTTACTAGAGAAGGTCTTATTACGTAGCTGCATATATACTATATTGCAGGCCAATCGGTCCTAAAACACATTTAGACAATAATCTATGAACCTCGACCTGACCTCTTGCATCACATGTCACACGCATACGCGATCAGCGTCGAAGCTACGCAAATTGTCACACACACATTGGATCACTTGCTGTATTGGGTTAAGAGATAACCACATGCGAAGTTTCCTTCAAAAAACGAATATGCTTTTATGCTTTTGTGTGGTTTATATATATATGTATATCTTTCTCGAAAGAGTTTCAAGGCACAAGTCAATTGTCTATATTTTCTTACAAGATTAAAGGGATAATATCTCTTGTATGAGATCTATATTTCACAATAAAAACATTGTAAACAACTCACAGAAATGTAATATATTCTGTTTTACCACAGAAACCGCAGTTATAGCTATTCTGATATCTGAGCTTGTCATCGGACCACGTGACTTCCATAGATGGCTATACTCTGTAACAATCTCTTAAGAGATTATTACGAAAAAAAAAAAAAAAAAAAAAAAAAAAAACAGGGACTAACTTTGAATGTAGAAATGGATTCAATACCATTGGTAAGTATGGGAAAATTGTTGTTAACTCCAGGAAAATTCTTTTTTTTGGCCAAAACGCACAGTTATTATTCCTTTAACTAGTCAAGACTCTTCAAGAAACGCTGTGCAGGCCCTGCTCAATTTATTCGGATTTTGAAGAAAGTTAACTTTTCACGTGATGTCGAAAACGTTATAACAAGCGAAGTTTCACTTGAAAAACGAATAAACACTTATATTGTATGTACCATCTTCCTTGGCGGAGGCCCGCGCTCTAAGAGTGTTTTTCTAGTATGAAAATATCGAGTTATGTTGTAGAAAGACTTACTATCATGCTTTGGTCATATGAATTGGCCCAGGATTTATACATGTCCATAACTTGCTCAACAGTTATCCCTGGAGTGGTGATTGAATCGACAACCTGCCGATCTTTCTCAGCATCAGCCGACGTCATTTTGTCTTGTTTTTTTTTTTTTTAATTTATGGGTGTCAAACCTGGAAGAAATTGGGTGAAGAACAAGAATGAATTTAAGAAAATACACAGTTATTAAATGTTTTTCTAAACAAATTATGCTTGCTGTAGAGTGCCCATGCATACAAATGATAGTTTATCGTCAAATGATGCAACTTTTGCAGATCAAATGATTAATATGCCAACTCTAACCCGCCCTCCCTGCTGGGGGTACAATCATATACACGGTTGTTATTTGCCAAATACGAGGAAGGGAATCCAAACCAAAAGTACAGGAGTGTGCTTCAATACATTCATAAGGTTCGCTACGCCAAAGGTCCGCTATGGACACATTCAATACAGTGGACTTATCTGTGGATAAGATATGGCGACCCACTTAAAGTTAAATGCTTGCCGTCTGATCCTCTAACAGACACTGAATAGATTCCCAACGGTGATTACACAACAAACATTCAATATTTGATCCGTGGACTAGATAGTCCGCCGTTGTGAATGCAGCCTATGAGCGCATTCAGTACTAAAAAGCTCGCCGCTTAATTCCCGATTTGAAACTGAATAAATTCCCCATGGGGATTAGGCAACAAAATTCAAGTGGGTTGGCCATATTTGATCCTCGGATCTGTTAATACGCTGTTCTGAATGTGTTCTTAGTCTGCTGTTTTTGAATGCCCTCTGTGACGAAAGTTCGCTGTTTAGAAATAATCGTACATTTACAGATGGAGCGCAAAGATACAGACAAAATACAGTAAACAAATGCCTAGTGGTTTCTAATGTGGTAAAAGTCGAAGCGTTCTTGGCGAAATGCAGCAGTTGGTATTCTTATTGCACTATTGCACTATTGCAACAAAGCATAGGTGGGTGAATAACACATTATATCGCCCTATAAAGTTAAATTCTTCGTTGTTGTCATAAGGAATAACTCATACGCGAAATCTGGGCAGATTGCAAAACAATCAAATATGCAAGAGCCTTCTATATATGTTTCTTTGACACGAAGGTGTCTAATGTGCACTTGCTCGCCCCAATTACGGCACATACTGTATGCGAGAGCCTCCTAAATATGTTTCTTTGACACGAAGGTATAGTGCTTGCCCCAATTGTAAACGCAACTGATTTTTCGCCACATAAAGCTGACCCCGTAGTACAGTGCGCTATATAGGTTGCAGCTGACCCCTCGCATTCCATCTCTTTCAGACAAGATGTACACTCATGGTACTATGTGCAAGAGGGAACTTCATGTCTAGACTTTCTTCGCGTACATTTATTGAGCATTCCTATTTATATAGAAAATGAAGCTGGATTGTAACGGCTCTGAAAACGACCGAAATTATATATTCACCTACCCTGTTATCAACTATCCCGGTCCGGTAATACATGTAGATCAAACTGACGCTAACAGATCACGTGACAACCGATATAACGCACATCGATCACTATGATCTCGGTTTAACCTGCGTGTCCATGCATCTCCTGCACTGTCTGCTTGACACATTATGTAATATATTCTCACTTGACCTCTAAGGGGCTGTTAGGTCGCAGTTAGGTCGCAATAGCTAGTGTGGAATAAGATTGCGTTCCCACCTTATCGTACTAGCAAGATAGATCTATCTTAGCGGGAATTCTACAGAGAAACTAGTGATTATTCAAGTACAAGGAAACAAGAGGAGACGTGTTACTTCAAACGGCTTTTTAGGAATTATTATAGACCATTGCCAGACCCTATCGTACCAACAGTGGATCGATCTATCTCCGAGGGGATTCTCGCCATATTGCAATCAACTCAAGCGGCTTAGATGTCTGTCACGCCTACTGAAGCTGCTAAGGGTTAATTAATCATCGTTTAGCAGCTTAAGTAGGCGTGCAAGACATATAAGCCGCTTAAGCTGAAAGCAATTTGGCGAGAAACGCCTCGGAGATGGATCGATCCTGTTAGATCGATCTAGTTAGGGAATCTAGTATAAGATCCTGGTTTAGTCTCTCCAGATTACTATCTTTACGCCCATCACCAGCACATTTAATCCCAAACACCTTGTTGGATTTTATTAAATGGTGTTGTCCTTCACATTTAGAACTTCTCGGGGTGTTTATTGGTGTTAACATAGTACTATATAAATTTAGTTGAGATGATTTATGATATAAGGAGAAGCCGTCTAGAATGTATATTATAATGTACAAAGTCATGATATACAATGGCGGATCCAGGATTAATTGAAAGGGGGGTTCGCGGATGCGAAGCCGACCTTACCCCCCCCCCCCCCCTTCATAGATATTAGGTATCTTGTCAATAAATGTTTTTAACACATGCACAATAATGAAGGTAACGTATACCCAGCTTACCCATATAACAGGGTTATATATTGGTAAGACCATCAACAAGTGTTAAGAGAACGTTATTCTAACGTCATTGATCCATGGCCAGCAAGTTCTATTAACGTATATAAATTTTGATAAAATTTACAAATTATACATTTTTGTTAATTTTGGCAAAAACACATGAACAAAGGATTTCATATTTTGCATTTTGCACAACTTTAATCTAGTATTAAAACGTTCTAACAATTTTATAAAAAATAAAAAGATATGTGTCGCTTATATTTACCAATATAGCAAGCAGTAATCACGTCATACGCTCTCGGTATAACGTTGCGCATGAAGCCTGCGTCAAACGCTGTCTTAACTATACCTAGTGGCTGATTACAAATTGGGGTTGGGGTTAGTCGGTGACTAGAGCGATGAGGATTTTAGAACTCTCGGGCAAGTCGGTACCTACTCGAAATTACCAATCGACATGATGAAAAGATTTAAAAATCTATAAAAATAGACTTCAATTATGTAATAAGATTTATCAAAATTATTTAAAAAATGTTTTCAAGTAATCCTGATAGTTGATTGGCATTTGTGACAAATAAATGGATTGTTTTAACTTCATTTTAGAAAATTCATTCTAATTAATTGCTTGCAAGGTCAGCTAACACAGGAGTAGTCATATGATAGACAAGTTGGAGGAGTCCATTCATGGAGGGGTTTAGTGGAGACAAGCCACTCAATCTGTGAGATGACAGGTGGGGCGATTCCACTCCATTAGAGGGTTAGCAGGTGGGGAAAGTCCATTGCATTAATAAGGGGTGACAGGTGGGGCGAGTCCATTGCATTGTAAGGGGTGACAGGTGGGGCGAGTCCATTGCATTGTAAGGGGTG